GTTGGAATTTGTACTTGTTTGATATACTCTTAAATAATTGTGTTGTGAGTTTAAGGTTAGTTCTTAAGTTAAGTTTTAGAAGATCATGATGTTGAGATTAGTTTTACTTGCATATTAGTTTTTGAGTTTCAATAATATTGAGAATTATTCTCTGTGAATAGGTTGGAAGGAGATATATTGATTATTTGTGTTTTTTGTTAAGTTTTTATAGAATAGGTTGGAAGGAAGAACCCTCTCTACCTTTTCGTGAAACCGGCGTAAACCTTGCTTCATTACCGAGGGAAGGGGAGCAAACGACCACGTACGGGAGGCGCAAGCGAGACCCAAYGGTGAGGAGCAATTTCCGRCGGCAGAGAGCGACAATCGGYAGCGGCGGCGGCGAATATACAGCGGTGGCGACAAATATCGAAGGTTCCTTTTATCTCCCTCATATTCGTTCGTTTTCATCTTCTTCTAGTYTGATAAATAATTTTCTTGTGGTGTAAGAAGTTCTTGGTGGTTGATCCAGACAACATTGTACCACAAATAATGTCTCAAGAAAATTGTTCCAGACATCTAGCCAACATGTTAAACATGGGTAACTTAGAACAAGTAGTACTCATCCCACATAATAGCGGGTAAGCTAGCAATTAACTTCATTTTACTTATTTATAGTTTCCTTTATCCATGCATGAATGATAATATTATCATGTTGGTTATTAATAGTTTTCACTGGAAGATGTTTTGTTATACATCTCTGAGAGAATTGTGTTTATGTATTGGACTCTCTAAGAAGTAAGATTGAAGAAAATTATAAGGGAATCATAAACACGTAACTGCCATGAACTCTTATAGTTGAAATTTTTACAATTATGTTATTCTAATGTTTCAAATTATTTAGATCATTGAAAATGTGGCAAGCCAAACATTCTACTCAACAATGTCGCAGTATTACAATTTGGAAACCTGTGAAGGTAAATTTGCATAACTCATAACAATGTCGCAGTCCTTTGTATAACTCATAATTTTGTTATTTTTCAAATTTTCTATATGTAGTGTCCTCGACAATCAAATTCTATCGAGTGTGGAAACTATCTGCAAAAGTATATACGAGAAATAGTGCGGAACCCTGATACTCCTATAACTGAACTTGTACGTATTATCATATACCTGTATGTGTTTATATATGATTTGTCCTTATATTAGTATTTTTTTTTTTGTAGTTTAATACAAAAAGTGCCTATCAACAAGAAGAAATCGACGAAGTTCGAATATAATGGGCATCTTTTGTTGGACGATTTGTGTAGTACCTATGGATTCATTAGTTATGTTTATTTGATGTAAGTATTTGGTTCAGACTACTTTCTGTGTAGTAATTGGTAGATTAGAAATACTTTATCTTGTTTATAATATGTAGAAGTTTGAAGTTTGAAGTTTGAAATGTACTGCATAACATATTAGTTTTGGATTATTATAGAAGTATTTGACTGGATGATGCTGAAGTCTGGATTCTTATGCTGAATGTAGTTTTGTTGGAGGGACGGGGTGGTCCCATTTGTTCTTGTGTGGAAGGGTGTTTATATAGAAGTGTTTGTTTTGTTTATAACCATGCTAGTTTTGAGTTATTCTAAAACTGGAGAGGTTATGTTGAAATTTGTACTTTTGATTATTTGTGTTTTGAGTTTAARGTTAGTTTTTGAGTTAAGTTGGGAGGAGATATATTGGTTGGTTACTTTTGAGTTATATTCTAAAGTAGGGAGGTCRTGATGAAATTCGTATTTAGTATTGATTGTTTGTGTTTTTGTTAAGCTTTTATAGAAATAGGTTGGAAGTGAGAGATATATTGTTGGCTAGTTTTGAGTTATTCTAAAAGTGGAGAGGTTATGTTGAAATTTGTACTTTTGATTAGTTGTGTTTTGAGTCTAAGGTTAGTTTTTGAGTTAAGTTTTAGAATATATATTGTTTTATAATGGATGAATGTGTTAAAAGTTTTAGTTGCATATTCAGATATTATCATAGGTGTGAAGGAAATATATATAGTTGGTCAGCCACGTTTGGGCAACCAACTATTTTTTTAATTTATTTATTCACGAAATAATGACGGTCAATATCTGTCACGAAATATAGTCATTCAATGACGCACATATCGATGTAGATACAGTGACGTACAAACAATGTCACACAAAAGATGACGTACAAACAATGACGTACAAACAATGTCGCACATACAATGACAGTCACAAAACAAGGACAGTCATAAAGATGTCGGTCGTCACCCGTCATGGTTATTCTTTCATGACGGCACGTCCGTCATGGAAAACGCTATACATGACAGGCAATGCCCGACCTTAAAAGGGTCGTTTCATGATGGCCATGTTCGGATGGAAATAAAATATACATGACGGGCAATGGCCGACCTTACAACTGTCCGATATGAAAGGGAAACAAGGACACTCGTATAGATGTCGGTCAGTGACCGACATGGTTAATGTTTAATGTCGGGCAATGCCCGTCATGAAATAGCAGATTTGTTGTAGTGGGTAAAATGGTAATTTTACCCAACTGTGGTTATGAACACTCGTGAAGGATTGACTTACCGTTAATGGTCAAAATCCATAGACGCAAAATATTCTACAGTGAGAAGAGTGCAACTTTGGGTCTTTAGTGGAGTGGCTGACAGTTAACGAATGTTGATTAACATGGTTAATGAGTTTCATCAATTAATCTCGTATCGTTGGAGTTTCCGATCTGTAGGTCCATTAGGTCCCCTTGCTAACTCGTAATGGATACTTAATAACAGTTAGTCTTGAAAATAATTTGAATTGTTCAAATTAGTTAAAGGGAATTAAGGTTCATTGTATGAGATGCAATTAATATAATGTATGTTGATACATTATAATATAAAGTTAATTTTGAATTGGATTGAAAATTACGAGAGATGGATATTAGAATTTGATTCTAATATAGTTGATTAATTTAAGTTTCATTTAATCGAATATGATTTAATTAAATTAATTTCAGGCGACTTGGGAGAATCACCATTCACCTCGGACATCTTGGAGGCTCTCATCCTTCCAAAGTTCAAAACTCCCACTATGAAACCGTATGATGGGTCTAAGGACCCAAAATACTATGTTGAGGTCTTCGAAGGCCTTATGGATTTTCAAGCGGCAACGGACGCCATTAAATGTCGCGCCTTCCAGATCGCGCTTACCGGCGCGCACACTTATGGTATAAAAGATTACCGGCTAGATCGATCTCGACCTACTCGCAGCTAAGGAAAGAAGTTATTAGTCAATTCTCTTCTCGGCACTATGACAGAAAAATAGCGACCCATCTCGTCACCATCAGACAGAAGGAGGGCGAGACACTTAGAGAATACGTCACAAGGTTTCAGGAGGAGCAGTTGAAAGTTGTGCACTGCTCCGATGATTCGGCCATGTGCTACTTTCTCACCAGCCTGGCCGACGAAACTCTTACAGTGAAGCTTGGGGAAGAAGCTCCCGCTACCTTCGCTGAGGTTTTGCAAAAGGCGAAGAAAGTTATCGATGGACAAGAGCTCCTCTGGACCAAGACTGGCCGGCCAGAAAAGCAGATCGAACCCAAGAAGTCTGGCCAAGATAAAAGGAAGGCTGATTCAAAGTCTGAAGACAAGGGGTCATCCTCCTCCAATAGCCGAACTGATTATCGAAGRTTGGATGGCAGTCTCAACCGAAGCCGACTTTACGAACGGTATACTCCTACCACCATCCCCATCTTTGAAATACTTACAAATATTGAGGAGACTGGGATGGAAAAACTCCTCAAGCGACCTGAGAAGCTCCGAGGAGACCCAGAAAAGCGCAAAAAAGATAAGTATTGTCGTTTTCATCGTGATCACGGCCATAACACATCGAGTTGCTGGGAACTAAAACACCAGATTRAAGACCTCATTCAAGATGGCTAGTTCAAGAAATTTGTTGGCAAACCGAGGAATAACTCGGTAGAAAAAAAAAGAAGAGAGGAAGCGTTCAAGGACGCCACCTCGCCGAGATGACCAACCTGCGGTCATCAACACCATTTTCGGAGGCCCGAGTGGGGGTCAGTCTGGAAATAAGAGGAAGGAATTAGCTCGCGAAGCCAGGCGCGAGGTATGCATCAATAGGGAGCAAAGACCAACCTGTTCCATTACCTTCAATGATTCCGACCTGCAGGGGGTCCACTTGTCCCATAATGATGCACTGGTGATCGCCCCTCTCATTGATCACGTCCTGGTCCGCAGAGTATTGGTAGATGGAGGCGCATCTGCCAATATTCTGTCCTTTACAACATACCTYGCCCTGGAATGGACCAGGTCACATTTGAAAAAGAGTCCAACACCCTTGGTTGGATTATCTGGAGAATCGGTCTCCTTAGAAGGGTGTATTGACTTGCCGGTTACAATAGGACAAGATGATACACAAGTCACGCAGATGGCCGAGTTCGTCGTGATCGACGACAGGTCAGCTTACAATGCCATCTTTGGGAGACCTATCATCCACTCGTTCGGGGCTGTTGTTAGGGTTGACTTTTTACTACAGAAACATGTGTCGGTAGTCCTGTTTGACCACGTTTTTGACCCATTTCCGATTATTATTTGCCAAAAAGGACCACATATTCTTAAAGTTGAACATACATAGATTATTTCTGTATAAAAGTCAAACTATGGTAATTTAGGAAAAATATGTGATAAATGCGGTCAAAGTTGGAAGAAAATAACAGAATTCTGTTTTTTTGCAGAATTGCGCCCGACGCATTTTTGGAGAGTAATTTGTCAAAACGCACGTTTTGATTAATGAAGGGCAAGGAAGACATTTCCCACGTGTTCAAAACTGTGAGTCCAAGTCCAAATGAGGTGGTTAGGTGAATCTCAACCCTTTTCCACATAAAATTGAGGGGAGTTTCAACCAACCTATGGTGCTATGAAAGGAAGTCATCCATCCCTCAGCAAATCATCCCTTCTAAGCTTCATTTCATCTTCTTTTAGATGCTCTCTAGTTGTAGAATACGTTTTTAGTGTTTATGTTCATGTTCTAGTTGTTCATTTTTTCGTTTTTCACATTTTTACCTTTCATAGTGCTTTTAATTCGAGTTCTTACTTTCGTTCTTTGTTCATTTTGTTATTTTAAAGTTCTTTAGCGAGTTTCAACTCCCCTCACGCTCGAGAGAGAAGAGGATCAAGCTAAAACTTCTTGTACAGCTTATTTATTCATTTCAATTCAATGAAAAATACTTTMTTTATGTTTTCGTGCATTTACTTTCATTTAATTATGTTCTAAATTAGTTATCAACCTCCTCGTGGACTGCCTTAGTGAAATGATTTGATTTTCAACACGCTCGRGATTTTGGCCAGATTGCRCCTGGCACTTTTTTGGGTTGGTTTCTAAGAACTTCTCTTTAGGTCTTTTTTCCATTTGGCTAGTGGGAACTTGATTTATACACCAAAGCCCAATCTTGGGAAATGTGAGTTAGGTAAAATAATAGGAAACCAATATGGGATGTGACTTAGGAATAAACGCATAAAATATGGTCCTAGGCATAAGCCCTCTGACCCATAATACAAATGA